TGGAGTAAGAACATTTTACTTGGTAAGATTCTTGAAATAAGAAAAAAACTGAGTCAAATCAAGTATTTCAAGAGTGGTTTCATTCAAGTTTTCATTATCTCTATAATATAATGAAAACCTCACTGATAAACTCTTACAGTAAAAAGTACGAATGAAGCCAGGATCCAAACACTTTAAACATGGAATTAACAACTAAAGACAGGAAACAATCRTACAGATGAATGATAGAACCCAAAACACTGAGGGGCTGATTTATCAACACTTTACTATGTACAGATCTGTGGCCTGACACAAAGCTGATTCACCAACATGTGCAGAGAGGACWGATGAGCAAAGCTGCTGCAGGGAGGGGGGCACAGAGGGGGCACCTTTCTTTATTTTCCTACTGTCTGCTGGCTCTGAGATGAATTAATTGCAAGACTTTTCTGTACGTCTGTATGAATGCAAAATAAGTGAAAAATCCAATCTCCAAGCTGACATGTCTGCAGTCAGATGATCTTTCTTCAAATGCAGCCTGCTTTATAATATCTGTAAGTTGGAAATATTCACAATTAATGTGATTTTATTTTTTTTTATCTTTTAAACAGAGAAAATGAGAGCTTGTCTCTGTCAGTCACCTCTGCTCACCTGCTGGACAGCAGCAGCAGAAAATAACCTCCCTGTCACTCAGAATGTTGTTTCTGCTTTACCTCCAACACAGACACACACTGTTCCAACAGGGCTCCTCACCACCACTGCACCTGTGAGTCTTCAGACTTACATCCACATATACCACAGAYTATCTTTTATTTGCTCAGAGAATTTAGTACTGATGATCTGTCGTCTTGATGAATCAGCCCCTAATTGTAATGTAAACAGGTGTGCATGAACAGGTGTGCTCACCTGGCCTGTAGTTAGGCAGCAGACTGACTCCAGGCCAGGTGTCCTCAGACGGGACACCCAGGACCTGCAGGTGGTTACAGACATGTAACTGTCAGCTGAAAGCATCTTAATCTCTTAATAGCATTATGTAATGCACTCTAATACACTCTGTAACAATCCAACACACTCTGTAACACTCTGTAACACTCTGTAACACTCTAACACACTCTAACACTCTGTAACACTCTAACACACTCTAACACTCTGTAACACTCGAACACACATTGTAACACTCTGTAACACTCCAACATACTCGAACACTCTGCAACACACTCTGTAACACTCCAACACACTCTGTAACACTCCAACACACTCTGTAACACTCTATAACACTCCAACACACTCTAACACTCTGTAACACTCTAACACACACTCTAACACTCTGTAACACTCTAACACACATTGTAACACTCTGTAACACTCCAACATACTCGAACACTCTGTAACACTCTAACACACATTGTAACACTCTGTAACACTCCAACATACTCGAACACTCTGTAACACTCTAACACACATTGTAACACTCTGTAACACTCCAACACACTCTGTAACACTCCAACACACTCTGTAACACTCCAACACACTCTGTAACACTCCAACACACTCTGTAACACTCCAACACACTCTGTAACACTCCAACACTCTG